CAAAAGCCGCTGACGTCAGGCAGCCACACGAGCCGTGTGGGAACAATCCGGCCAAAACGTCAGTCCATCTCCATTTAGCCATCGAGTTGGCGGACTTTTTTTGGCTAAGAAAATGACAAATTTGCAGACTTTCAAAGGAACTTGAGATTAGCATAAGCAGGGAAATGAATAAAAATTTTGAATAAAATAAATGATTTTTGTTTTTAAGGTTAAAGAAAATTACAGTTGTGTATAAATAAATTGAGTTTAGACTCATTAGAGTGTTCCTGTCCACAGGAATCTTTAGTAAAAGGCGAAGAATTCATTTATAAATGTTATATTTCAATTTAAGCATAAGCATTTTATGGAATTTCTTTTTAATGCATTTCAATAATTATGTTAGGAACCTAATATTAGCATAAATCAAAAAATGAATACAATTTTGATACATAGTAAATGGTTTTTACTTTTAAATTCATAGAAAGTTAATACTTTATAGAAATATCTATAATATCTCAGTTTAATTCAAAGCTGGATACCTTGTTTTGAGATTTTTGTTCATTGATTTCAATAATCTTTAAAAATTATTTTAAGAAATTGTAAATTTGATAGGAAAATGAAATGATTTTTAAACAAAATAAATGCCTTTTGCTTTTAAATTTAAGAAAGTCGAAATTTTATGGAAATACATATTGTATATTAATAAAATTTAAAGTTTAAAAGTCTCTGTTTGTGATCAACATTTTAAGAGATTTTTTTCATTTATTTTAAATCCATTAAATATTATTTAATATGCCTATTGCTAACAATTGTATCAAAAAACATAATTTAATATGTATTATCTTTTCTAACCCCTTAATTCAATTTTTGATTTTATACCTTTTATGATGATTTTATAGTTTTCAGATTTAATGTTCGATTGAATCTATAATTTAATTTAATTAAAACTTTAAACATAGTTTCACATCTCAAGTTTTGCCATTAACATGAAAAGTATCTATTTTTCATTGCTCATTTCAACTACAGCATACCTAATAAAAAAAACCAAAACTTTTGCTCTAGATTTAGTTTGCTTTTATTTTACTTTTACTCATTTTGAGTATTTTCTCGCCTTTTGGCGAGTTTTCTCAAAAAAAAAAAGATTCCTGTTTCGCCGAAAAATTGTGCGCAATATTCGCTCCGCTTCTCCCGTTAGCTTCTGTTTTGCAGCAGTTTTGCTCGATTTGCCGCAAATTAAGTTGGCCTGGCCAGCAGACCATGCTCGTCCATGGGTGCCACCGCCACCCAATGGTGCCGCCTCCACCCACACACACACACACACACACACACACACACATCTCTCCCTTTGTAAACGCCTCCGAATCTAGTCGCCAGGCGGTTGCATTGTTCACGCCATCGTCTGGGTCTGAGTTCTCGGATTCGGTTTCGAGGGGTTCCGGGGGTTTCGGGGGCTCCGGGGGTTCCCGGAGGGGCTTGAGGAGGTCTCTGGGGTCTGGCTGCTGCCCAAAAATGCAATAAAATTAAATGTTTTTGTGTAAAAACTTTATGACTTTGTGTTTATGTTCGCAACACGCTCGCCTCTCGCAGCACTCTCGGTTCCAAGCAAGTTTTTTTGTATTTTTGTTTTGGACTTCTGGTTGGACGCTTGGCCTGCTTTAGTTTCCCCGGCTGATTGGCAATTGTTGTTTTGGCCACAGCGCAGCTCTTCTTAGCATGTGTTGACAGTAATTAATTTAACCGGCATAAATGCAATTTATATGAGCAACACATTTGTCGATACTTTGAAAGAAACGGGACGCGAAAATAAAATCTGGGGAAAATGGAATGAAATTTATGATTTTTCCATAAAAGTGACACTTTAAAAGCAAAGAATATGTTTAACAATATTTTGTTACTTATAAATGTTAAGGCTTTAATAGGATTAAACAAAGATTTATTTCCCGAACATTTCATCTAAACAAGACAATGTTCTTATACAGTAATTCTACTCTTAGCTTGTGATTTTTGAACTTTGTTGTAAAGTTTGAATAAGAAATAATAAATTTACAATAAGTATATGAATCCCAAAGCTTAAGTTTCCTTAAAATTTAATATATATTATTTAATAACTCAACTTCTGATCTTACTTTTACCCTACCAATTTCTTAATTTTTATTATCCATATCGCTCTCTCATCTCGACGTCTTATCTTATCATCAAATTAACTCGTTCGATATCAATAAAATACCAACCACAAAAAATAAGAAACATAAATCTCAAGTAATTTCAGGCTCCTCACAAATTATGGTTTCACTTTTCTCTCCAAGTCCAAGAAGAGTTTTCTCTTCGCCGCCCTCGAAGGCTGCTGGTGCTGTTGTAGCTGGTGAAATCATCGCTGAATGCCGGGGCACGTTCGCCCTTCAATTGAGGGGCGTGCGAAATGCATCATAAAAATCAAATATGATGTACACATTTCGAATGGCTCACGCTTTTTGACAACATCATTGGAGAGCGCCTCGAGGTGTGGCCAACTAAATGCTTATTAATTATGAGTCTGCAGCCGAAGGCATTCCATAAACACCCAGCAACACTTCAACGGCGAAAAGTAATTAACTTAATATCGTTGTAAAAAGAAAACTTTTTTGCCCAAACTGTCGTAAAATAAGAGATTTCAGCATGGAGACGCGGCGAAAACGAGTCGTAAACAAATGAAGCTGAAAACTGTAATAATGTTCAACAATTTATCTGGCAGAACAAGCTGAAAACAGTTGTAATTATAATTGGGCAGCAGGAAAATTATAAATTGGAAAAATGGGTAAATATAAATCATCTAACTTGCAGTCATTTAGAAATTTAGAAAATTTTAGTTTTAATTGGATGCAGTTTTACATTAAATTCAAAAAGAAAGAATACTAACTAGTGGAAGCTTTGCTTTTTTATTGAATTATAGGATTGTTTCCAAAACAAAAGCTTAAAATATTCGCATTCTTTGAATGGATTTATTTATATATATTTTATATGAGAATTTTTCTTTTTTTTTGATAAATTAATATTTAAAAATCTCATAACTTAGCTAAAAAAGCCTTAATTTTAATTCGGAAAGCTGCACCATGCAAGTTTTATTAGGCTAATAAATCTGAATACCAATCAACAATTTTAAACAATTTCAAATTTTGTCAATTTTTTACACTTTAAATTTTTGGATGTGAAATTTTGGAAAAATTTTAAAATTTTTACTTTCTGTCTTAGATGGCTAGATTGATTCAGCCCTTCATGCTGATCAAGAATATATATGACTTATAGGGTCGGAAATGATTTCTTAACATCGTTTAAGCTTCTGACTAAAACCACAGTAGCCTGCAAGATTATAAAACCCTGATGTGATGATTATTTTTAACTCTCCCATTCTGGTTTAGTATAGAAATTTCAGTGAAAATTGATTTGGAAATTTTAAGTTAAACATTAAATAATAATACTTTGCCTTAGTTTTGATCAATTTTAACTTTATGATTATATAAACTTTAGCTCTCCAAAGTGAGCTTTCTTTCTGATTAATTTTTCGCTTAAAGTATTGTTTTTTCGGAAGATTATTCCTTTAATTCAAGCAGAACATTGCTATTAACCAAATCCAAGTTAAGTATTTAAATCCCTTTTTGACCTTTTTATGTCAGAATATATCCCTCTATCGGTGGCCCCATCATCCAGCGGAAAAACTACGGAAATCGCTGAGAGGACTTCACCGACTCAACTGGCGATTGATTCACACAGAGAACTTCCGCAGGGGCTGCGAGCAAACAAAAAGTTTACGCTTCATAGAACAAATTGAATAAATCATTTGACGTTGTCCTGGCTGCCAGCCTGCCATCAAGGACTCACAGGATGCGGAGGAGGAGACGGGTGATAAGCCAGGGCCAAAAGGGTCGTGGACTCACATAATTGTTGCGCAGAATTGACCAAAAATAAAAGCACCCAGCTGCAGCTGGAGAGGGGAATGAATGCGAAGGCAACGAAACTGAACAGATTTTAATTGAAAATAAATAAATTATTCTGTTTAATGCACTTAAAAGTAGGGAACAGCCGAGGCCTGGAAGCAAACACTTTGCCGTCATGAAAGTTAATCAAATTTCAACAAGTTCCGCCGCCTCATCAACTTTAAGTTTGGTTATAAAAATAAGAACTATACATATATGAATTATTATTATTTATTTATTTGTTATTTATTTAACCAATAAAAATAATGTTCACTCTTTTTGTTTGGTTTGCAACAGTACCACTGGGGATTTTTGCATTTGGGCGCAGGACACTTACAACATTTGCTGGCTTCGACAGCAGCTTCAATCAGAAGCAATAGCATTGCCCAACAAATGAATACAAATCCTGCCAGCTTTGCCATTATTCTGGCAAAAATATTGTCTATAACCCGATGAGATGTGGATTAAGCCGTGTCAAATTTAAAGTGAATCAAAAGCTAATGACACAAGCACTGCAAATCGAATTCTCTGGAACACAATCCAATCCCAATGCACATTTCCTGATGGAATGTAATCCGTAATAACGAAATAAATTCAGTATAATAATTATCAACAAAACACTTGAATTTAAATTTATGTTCGTGAAAACATTTATTTGTTATTTAAACAATAAACATGTTAAGTTGTCTTTACCAAACACAACAGGTAAACTCGAAATCCTTGCATTGAATATCGGGACAACTGCAACAATAAAAGCGCCTGGCGGATTCGTTCCACCATCTCATTATTATTACACAGAGAATTATATGACGTTTTCCCAGCATTAGCATCATTGTGTCGACTGAGCTAAAAATATTGTCTATAACCCGATGCGTTGTGTTTTAAGCCGTGTCAAATAAGTGAATCGAAAGGTAATGGACACAACCAATTGCAAATTTAAATCTCTGAAACACTGGAATTTCCGTGCCCTTTTTTCGATTCCAATTCCGACAACAATGTGAAAACCAAGTGAACGGTTTAAAAACCGCAACAAATTATTTGCTCCTCCCTCCAATATTACACAATGATAAAAATCCAGAAAACTCTTAAATCACTTTGAAAAAATAGTAGAACAGAGCAATGATGGCTGGCCACATAGGGTTTAATTGAGAAATATAATTAAATATATATATATATATATATATATAATTATATATGTTTAATATATATCTTTAATTACAGATCCTTCTTAATATTGCTTGTAATTTTGGTAGTAAGTTTCGCTGATAACTTACAACGTCAGAATAATAACTCTCAAAAAGCCTCGAAATGGAATTTTATAAATAAAACACAGTTAAAGGAATGCCCCGATGGCATAAAACCCCTAAAGAATGTGGACAAAAACAGGGTACGTAAATCAGGTTAAATATATTTAATTCTAATTAATTTATTCAACTTACATAGCTTTTGGGTGTTTGGTTTGCCTACGCCACAACTTCAATAGACAAGTCCTTCTATCGGCGGCGCTGTGCTTCCTATAATGTGCAAAATAGTCGTTAGTAAATCATCACTTTCTCACTTAAATAAGTTTATAATATATATATATATATATATTAATAGCCTATTTCAATACCAACATCATTTTTACGGACTATGAAAATCTTGTGATAACTTATTCCTGTATTTACAATCCTAAAACCAAGCTGAATGAAGGTGAGGAGTGCCGTTTTTTCGAAACGATTCTAACTATACTTAATTGCATTTTCCAGTTAAGTTGAGAGTTCTAACTCGCACCAGAACCCCGATGTTAAGTGTCCTGCCAATTGCCGGTACCTTTCTCCACTCAATTGATTTTCCGATGAGCAAATTGGTATTTCTGGATGCTGTGGCCTATTGCTTCGAATGGTATGTATTGAAATACCATCAGAGGCCAAGACCGGGTCAATATGCGGTGCCCATGAACCCTTTTTTCGAACATTGATGATGACATCTCGAATTAATTGCATAACTATCGCTAATTATTACAACATAATTAACATCAGCAGAGAGAGAAAGGAGGAAATCGTATAACTTAATTAGCTGAGGCGAAGTCGGGAGGTCCTGGCCAAAATCAATTACGAGCGACAGTTTTACTCAATTGATTGAACCCCAGCCCTCTCAAGGAGCCCTCAATTGTCCTGATTCCCGTGTCCTTGTTCCCAAAAAAAAAACCCCATACACAAGGCGGCACTTGGGGAAAATCTGATTGGATTTACTGGAATAAAATTAAGAAACACGTTATTTTTTCAGAGATAATAAAAGGATGATTGTGTTTTATGAAATATAATTCAACTAAGATGCTATATATAGGCCAAGAAATTCTATATTTATAATTCTTTCTTTATCTTAATTTTAAATTGTTTCTCCCTGTGTATGCAGAAAGGCACATATGGAGAGCAGACAGCCTCCTGGTATTGAGTTGATGCCTTGCCCATTCTGCTGCCGCTTCAATTCAATTTACCAATAAGGGAATCCCCTCTCTACCAAAAAAGGAAGAAAGAAGCAAAAAAACGGGCAACTTGGAAAATTCAATGGGCCTCCGAAAAGTGCTTATGTGTGTGTGTGTCTCTGCCCATTTTCATTTTCACATTTTTTTCCATTCGACTGTTTGGCTTCTCTCACTCTCACTCTCCCTGCTGCCAAATTGCTTGGGCCACGCACAAATTGGCTCAGACCCTTGGGGTCCAGCCAGGTCCAGCCGGCCGATGGGGCAATAAAATCAAACCCATACTGGGCGCACTTGGCGTATGCGTAACTCACAATTATCCCTCATTGTGTGGGCGTGTCCCCCGGAGCAATGGAGCCATGGAAATGGAGGATATGGCATCCAAAACTGACTGGATGGGCCTTGGTGTAATAGTCACTAGTCCGAGATAATTGTCATTGTCATGCGAATTTCGTTTTGGGTCCACAGGACACGAGTATTCCGCTTCCGGCTATAACAATTTTGGCCCTCGGCCCAGAGTGGGTGGAGTGGGGAGTCTCTGTGTCCAATTCGTCCGTTGGACAATCCAATTTTCGAATTTGAATTCACATTTGCATCTCGTACTTTGCTGCTAATTTGTTTGGCAGTAAGCGGCTTCCTCGACCGAGTTAGTCCACAGTGGGAAATCATTTGGCAGCCACTGAAAGTAAAAGCCGGGTTTTCCATTGTTTGTTGTCAGCCTTTTTTTTGGGTTAATTTCCTGACTCCTTCTTTGCAGGACTTGAATTGCATAAGACTCAAGCACATATTGCCAGAGATTTGCCATTTTCAAAATGCAAAATAAGCTTAGAGTTTAGATTTGCAAATCGTAATTGCACGATTTCAAGATAACCATCTTGTTTGACAATGTGGTCGGTCGGATTTGTCTTGGCCAAGAGACAGTCGCCATGTTTTGTGAGTCAGAATGGAAGCTGACATAAGCTCGTTATCAGATCGCACCAGCTAGAGAATATGTCTTCCAATTACATTTCACACTTGTGCAGGTTTATGCAGCAGGTGAGTAATATGGTGTTTTCTTCGTTCAATTAAGCATAGTATTTACAAGCATCTGGCATTCACGAGTGAATGGCAAAACATTTGCATGAGCATATGGTTGATGAGCACTATTTGAGTTGGAATAAATTTTAAATATGAAATACAGTCATAATTAGGGAATAATTTTATAAAGTGTTCTCTATAATAATAGCTTATTTTATTAAACAAATATTGAGGTTATTCACAAAATTTAATTTAAAGTTTAGCCTTAAAGACACATTAGCAACATCTGCAACAGAAATACATGCAAGTAAGCAACACCAAAAACCACAGCAGCAACACAAGGGCCTATGGTTATGGCAAAAACCATATCAGACGGACATGCGATGCCAAAAATTCACAAGAGCAAAAAGCTGCAACAGAAAATCATCAGTAAAAAGACACCAACAAGAGCAACAAAAAAGCAACAGCAAAAACAAAAACAGCAGCAAAACACCAACGCAGATACCAGCAAAAACACCAGCAACAACATCAAGAAACCCACCAACGAAAACAACAGAAAGAGCAACAGCATAAATATTTACAATAACACCAACATAAACACCAACACACAACTACAACGCACAACAACAACAACAGCAGGCAACATCTGTTACGACACTGTTCTAACAGAGAACAGCAATTGCAGTAACAGCAGCAATAACAGTCAGAACACGAATGTTAAGTGCACTAAACTATATATACTATATATAGTATATATATGTATGCAGTGAGAGCGATACTCTATAGTACATGGTTATAAGCCGCCTAATTGATGCGCTCTCTACGACTATTGCCTGTGCTTGTGTTGTGATCTTCTTGTTATATAGCCAACTATATAGTTAAAGCTGTTATTCAATTTGATCTACTGGCAAAGCGTTTGCGGTGCTTGCTGTCGTTTTAGCCATTGCCTGTCCGCTGTCATTGTAACAATTTTATGGTTAGTACGTTTTTATTTCCACAGATTTCAGTGATTTTCTCTATAGCCTACCTCTCATTTTGTTTTTGTTGCTGCCTCGTTTTTTTATTTTTGTGAACAACTACGCTTTTTTGCCATGTATTTGTTTCAATTGCATGACGCATTTAGCGATTTCAAGTTCAAATCACTTTTTATGGGTCTTTATGTAATCACGTAAGCGTCATTTGTAGAATAGACTTTGTGCGCAAAAAAGCAATTCTCTCCAGCAGAAAGACTCTACTAATAGAGTTGCATTTAAATTAATGGCTCAAGATTAAAGATTGAGAGGATGGAAGTTTTTTGAGAATGTACATTTTTATAACTGGATGCTGGCGCTAAACCAAAACTCTTAATTAGCCGAAGAAGTTCTTCTTTCGGCTTTCAGTGGGTTTTTGGTTTTTTTTAATGTTTTTATGGATCTTTTGCCGTTGGACTGGTTCCACCAGTTTCCGTTTCATTTCGGTTTCGGTTTCGTTTTCGTTTTTTTCATGTCAAAGAACAAGAACAACATGAAGATGAAGACGAAGACGATGATGCTCCGACAGAAAAAAAAATAAATATATATAAGAAATAAAAAAACCGAAAAACCATTTATTGATGTGATAATCTAAAGATCAAGGTCTTCCTTTTGCCATTTCAATAAATTTGTTGTCGAGCTTGCGTACACTTCGTGGACCCCCGTCTTGTTGAATCTTTGATTCCGTAGAAGCGCCAAAACGAAACTAGAATTCCGATCAGAGAGATATAGTGCGGTTTAGTGATAGGACAAACAGGAAGTGCCAGAGGCACCAGCACTGGGCAAATATTCTTTATAATATGGGGTATATTTTAACTTTTCAATTACAAAATATTTTGGTGAAAATATAGGTGCTAAAAGCAATATAGCAGAAATATCTGAGACTTTTGGTTCAAGTGAAGAAAGATTTATAAGCTTATTTAAGTTAACTTCTATTGCGAAAGAATATCTAAATTTATTTAAATTAAAGAGGTTACAGAGCAGATTACAAGATCAGAAAACATTAACGAAAGTTATAGGTAAATAAATACACATTTTCATTAAACATTGTTTAAAAAATCAATTCCTGTATTCTTCAAAATATTTCCAAATGAATATTTAAACCTAATTAAATTCCCATTATTTAAATACCAAAACAAGTTTAATCTGACTCCTGTAATATTCAAACTTATATTTCCGGTGTAGAAGGAAATATAGCCACGCCAAGAGGGGGAGAAAAAATAGAAAACAAAAACGAAAGTTCAGACTGGCAGAAGTGGAGCATAAGCCGAGGATTCAGTTCAGCTTTGGGGAATAGACGCAGACGCAGACGCACAGCCTCCGGTTCCGTCTCTCAGTTATGTAAAACATATGCTAAACTAATGTGGATAGTTGTTGCTCCCTGGCCAGCAGCAAAGGGGAAAAGGGGCCGGATTGTGTGGGGTTTGGGTTTGCAATTCAAATGCAGTTTGCAACTTGCTATTCATTGGGGGATTTCCACGAATGCAACGGCGACAGGAGACTCTGAATCGGAATCGGAATCGGAATCAGTGCAAGGCAGCGTTGAGAGCGATGAATGATGATGTTGTTCCTGCCATCACTCTGTCATTTTGAAGGAGGCTTTCCTAAAGGATTTAAAGACCTCCCACTCTTTTAATAAATGTGTGATGATTTAGAACACTTTATGGGGTATTTTTTTGAGATGTAATACAAATAGAGTTACTCTTATTTTATAATAAGTTGAATTCTGTATAAGCTTTTATTTAAAAACCAGAAAGAAAACTAACATAACTAACTTTAAATACCCTTGCAGTAAGCAATTAAGTATTGAATAGTTTCGAAAATCGATCATAACTAAGCTAAAAATATTGCATTTTATGAACCAAACTTTTGGATATTTTTATATGATAATCAAAGTTTAATAAACTCATAACTAAGCCAAAAATGCATTTAATTTAATTCGGAAAACTGTTCTATGCTAGTTTTATAAGGGTAATAAATCTGCATACTCAATATAAAATTTAAAAAATTTTTTTTTTGCTTTTTTTTATGCAAATTTTAACGATGTAAAAAAAATTTTGAAATTTTTTTTCCTGCCAAAGATAACTAGAAGATTTGCCTGTTGATGCTGATCAAGAATATATATGATTTTAGGGTCGGAAATGACTCTTTCACATAGTAATAAGCTTGTGAATGAAATTATAATACCATGAAAGGGTATAATTATATACAAATATCATTAGTATTATTAATAAAAACTCATATTTTCCTTACCATTTATAGCATTTATACTCTTTTCCTATAATCTATATTTAAATATACATATATATATATTTATATTATATAGGGACTCACTTTTAAATATTTTGTTTATTACAAATTCTTTCACCTTCCTGAAAATCTTATTTCTATTTTAATCAACCAATCCGCCACACCGATCCCCCGTAAAAGATAAGTCCCATAAGCTTTCCATTTTAGCCTTAATATTATCCATTCTTGACGGGAAATCTGCCATTCCCTGAAATGTGTAAGAAATAGAATGCCAGACAACAAATCCGAGTCAAGCATTCAGCCAAACAAATGGTTAGCCCCAAAAGGGGAAAAGTGAAGAGTCAAATGAAATGCTTCCACAAATATGTCACGCACAACTACAGAAAAAAACACAACAAAAAATTGAAAAAAAAATGAAGAAAAATATAAACAAACCAAAAAAAGTAAAAAGGGAACAGAGCAGGGTTCGGCGGGTTCAAATGAGTCGAGCTAGAGACACACACAAAACCAAAGGCCCTAATACTTTTATTTTTTCCTCTCTAGTTTTGTTGTGTTCTGTGCTCG